AGCTATACTTTCATCAATGCCATTTATAATGCTTCATTATCAGTTTGATTGACCTCTATTTCTCGTAAAGTGCTTGTGGCAGGAGGAAGGGAATGATTTCTGTGGATACTACGTGTGCGAGTTCATCCACACCGCGACTTTGAAAAACAAGCGGGGCTACTCTAGAAGACAATATGAAGTGCGTAAGCAATAATATTCACAATTTCATTTTATTACACCATCATTTCTGTTGAGTTTCATTCATATATATGTATTAATTAACCCCCTTCTTCAAATTAGACGTGGCAGATGCGGGATGAACTCCTAGAACCAGATCGCATGAAAGCAATTTAAGAGGAATTGGCGGGATTCTTTCTTGACCACGTCATCAGTAAAGCCAGAGAATACCATGTGGAAATTGATTTCAAATGCTAGGGGTTTGTAATTAAGAGATCTTATACATATTGTACATGTATGTAGCCAGTAGCGTCGGATACATGATACGAAAACTTGTTGTTCGACCAATCTCTCGAAGAAGGAGAGGTCGATCGATCACTTCTCTCGGTATGCATGACAAACTTCTGTACTGAATGGTTCTCTCGATCACTTATGTATATATAGTACGTAGCGTCGACCAAGCACGGACATAAGAGAGGACACTTCTCTCTATTAATTAGCTAGCTAACACAATATATAAAACACCTAAATTAACCCCCCAAAACCCCCAACCTCCCCTCCTTTCAAAAAAAAAAACAAAAACCCCAGCCACTGGAATGCTGACGCGTGGATGCCTTTTGGTCCCGGTTGGAGCCACCAACCGGGACCAAAGGCCCTCTCACTGGGCTCGGCGCACAGGGTCACGTGGAGGCACATTGGTCCCGGTTCTGGATTGAACCGGGACTAATGGGTGGAGGTATTAGTAACGGCCCATTAGTCCCGGTTCATGAACCGGGACTAAAGGCCCTTATGAACCGGGACTATTAGGTGTTTTTCTACTAGTGTTAATAGTCGTGTACGTGCAATGCACGTTGATATTAGGTAGGATATTAATTGTACATTGATATTATTTATAATATTATTTACTGTCAATCAAGTTGCTACCAAAGACGTTTTTAGTATCTTTATATGATATTAGTTGTGTGCGAAAACGTGATTGGTGCTCAACATTGGGGTGATTAGGTCGATGTGGTTTGACAATTGAGGTTGTTTGGATCTACCTCACTAGTTCCTGTATATACCATGTACTAACTTGCACATATCTTCCATCGTAAGCTTAAATATTCTAGTAGGCTAACCCATGATCTACATAGAATTTTGATTGTTAATGTGACCGTGCACAAAAACAAAATTATATTTGGTAAACACTTATTGATTTTCCAAAGAAACCATAATTCTTCTATTTGGTAAGCCAACACAAGGTTGAACACTTGATGTGGTTCTTGCGAAACACATGGGGAGAAGAAAATTAACCCAACCTATAAAGGAAACTGAATAAAAAAGCAAATAGAACAACCCAATTTAGGAGATAAACTGGGCGAGAGAAGCACACAAGCATTGACAAATTACAAGGAGTAAAATAAAATAAAATGAGTGGGGAGGATGGCACGACAAAGCACCGCCCATGAGCAAACCCTGGGACACAACAACACATGCGGACGAGCTAGATATCCCCACGATGTGATACTAGAGGAAACACAATCAACGAGTGTCGTTGTCCGTAAAATTCCATAGCAAAAGGGCGTGATACCGGACAATGCAGTACGTGAGACCGCCAATAAGCCACGAGTATTAATTTGACTAACTGCCATTCCGCCCTAGAAGTCCAACTCGATCGCATATAAGCCAAGACCATCATCCATGTACTGTGTGAAATAACCGATGACACTCGTTGCTATTTCTTTTTTAGGGAAAAGTATGTACTCAACTCATCTCAAAGAACCAAAAGGAGAAAAGCAACACAGGCTAAAAACAAAGGGAAATGTTTATGGCCGGGGCGCCGGCCGAAGCTTCGGCCGGTCGCATCCACGCACGCAGCCAGTAGCGATTCAGATCACGACACGTAAGGAGTGGACCCACGCATTAAAATATCTCGTACCTTACCCTTTCTTCTTCGTTCTTCTCAGCTGCTCGTTTCTTTTCTCCCACCTCGTGAAGCCGCTTGTGATTCATGGCCTTGCCAGTCGCTCCCTTTCCCCTACCTCCTTCGCTCACTCCCTTTCCGCTACCTCCTCCCATCACCTACCTTTTTTCCATCCTTCTCCACACGAAAGAGCTCTAGGCCGCCATGAATGGTTCCCTCAAGCAAGCTGCAACCCAACAATGGCGGTGCTCAAACCAGCGACACAAAAAGCTTCAACCGGTCAACGGCGGGGGCGCGGCTACCTCTGACGGCGAGTTGCAACCAAACGGTGATGGCGATTTTTGCTGCCACCGCCGTTAGATTTTGCTACAGCCGGCGAGGATTCTTGATATGCTCATCCATGGCCAAGTTGCGACCTCGGACGGTGACGTCGATTTTTTTGTTGCAACCGTCATGGTTTTTTTGCTACGTCCAGCGAACTTTTTTGCTATGTCCATTCACGGCGGAGCTGCAACCGTCGTCAATTTTTGCTACAACCGCATCCTAGAAAGCTACATCTGGTATGTTAAAAAGCTTCAACACCACACAGGGAAGCTGGGGGTGGCCATAGCGCAACCGCAAAATGCTGTAACCGATAGCTGAAAATGCTACATCATGCACCTTAAAAAGCTTCAACGGGTAAACAAGAGCTTCAACCGGCGTTAGCGGCGGCTACCACCGGTGGCAACCATGTTGTGACGGTGACGGCGCCATCGTTTCTGCTGCAACCGCATCTATGGATGCTGGAACCAGCAAACGTGGCTGCTGCTACTGGCGTCGGTGTCTTGTTTTCGCTCGATCTATATTGGGCGGTGCTTTGCTACGACCGGCGCGGAATTTTTTGCTACAATGGGCAAGTGTTTTTTTGCTGGAACCACCACCTGTAGATGTTGGAGATGACATTTGGGGGACGGGGTGATGCAACCGGCAACCACCAGCGCAGGAGCAGACGCGCTATCTCGTCGTCGAATTTTGCTACTCAGGCGACAATGATTTTTGTTGCAACCGTACTTGGCATTTGCTACGACCGGCGACAGAAATTGCTGCGGTGGTGACGGTCAGGCTTCGCAACCAGATGCTATAGAAGGTGGGGAGCGCGGGCAACCGAGCGCGAGCACGGGGTGGCGTGGGGTGGCTGGCAAGCGCAGGCGGCCGAGGACGAGGGTGCGGTGGCCGGGGGAGAGCGCGTGGCCTTGTTTTCCCATGGGGATTTCCTCGTACAGGAGGTGTACGCGAGGATGACGAAGGAAATCGACTCAGATCTGACGGCAGTTATAGTACGCATCCAACGGTTGGGGGCAGATCGGCCAAAAGTTGGGCCGGCACACCAGCGCTCAGCGGTGGCCAAAAACAAAGGGTTCGCTCCCCAAAACATACTCCCTCCGTTTTTATTTAGTCCGCTTATTAGTTTTGGTCAAAGTCAAACTTTATAAACTTTGACAAAGTTTATAAACAAAAATATTAACCTATACAATAACAAATCAATACATTAGATTTACTAGCAAAAGAGCTCGTGCGATGCAACGGGAGAAAAAGCACTATACACACTCTTAATCCAACAACCATCACTCAAGATCACAAATAGGTCCATCTTCTTTATTTAGCGAGCCATCATATTTGTGTTGCCGCTTATCCTCCTTCTCACACTCGCCGGCGGTGGACTCAGTGTTCATACAAACCAAAACATGTTTGAATGTGGTTAATCCTAAGACGTCGCTCTCTCCCTCTCCCCCCTCTCCCTCTCTCTCTCTCTCTCACTTTCTCTCACACTCGCCATAATAAATCTGTTGTTTTCTCCTGCGACGTTTTCAGAGGTATGCATGTGTAGTTATTGATGTTTTCTTTTCCCTATATGGTTATAGTGGGTGTTTATTTGCAATTCGAATCGCCGCGGGTACGAAAGAAAAATGGATCATGCGCTATAGATTATAAGTTTGTTTCTAAAATAATATTTAAAAAATAATCAATAGGTAAAATTAACATCATATTCAGATTTCACACGTTTTCTAATCAAATTGCATATATAACATGTTAAAAATCAGAGTTACGGTTTAAAAGATACGGATAATTTAGAAAATAAGTTGTTTGGCTTTAATATCTTCTAAAATAATATTTAAAAATACTTAACAGGTTAAATAATCTCATATTTTCATATTCTACATATTTTTCTAATCAAATTTCATATATAACATGTTTAAATCGGAGTTACGGTCTAAAAGATATGCATTATTTAGAAAATCATTTGTTTGAGTTAAATATGACCCGCAGATGAATTACCTAAAAGGTCAGGGGAGTTTTCGAAAAAGTTGTAAAATAACGGTTCAGGTAACTTAAGTCCGGACTGCGTGTTGATTACAATAAAATACATGTTTTTTTTATAAAACGGTAAAATAACGGTTCCGGTGACTTAAGGCCGGACTGCGGGTTGTTTTGAAGAACATACAGGATCTTTTTTGCAAAATGATGCGACGGACGACCAGAAACCTAATTTTTTCTTTATTATTATTAGAGATAGAGATAGAGATTATTGAATGTACTTTCACATCATATAGATATGTTATGATAAATGTTTATATTGATTTATATAAACTTGATCAAATTTTACGAAGTTTGATTTCAGTCAACTCTAATATGCAAAAACGGAAGGAGTACTACCGAGCGTTCGCTATCAACAAAATCCACACACACACAAAAAAAACATATCTTCATATCTAATGTGGACTCCAAAAAAAACCATCCCCTCATATTTTATATGGGCCGGGCCTGCCGTCCACACCACTGAAAATCGTTCATGGCGGCCCACACGACAGGATGAAAGGCCCAAATCGAACACTCAAAGGGGAGGGGAAGTGGATGAGGCATCGAGGCAGTGTAATCCTCAGCAGCAGCAGCAGGAAAAAGAATGGCCGCGCCGCAGCAGGTCCGCGCCGTGCCCCTGGCGCGCGCGCTCCGCCTCCGCACGCGCGCCTCCGCCGCCCCCGCCGCCGCGCCGGAGACGTCCCGCCGCGCGCTCCTCGGCCTCACGGAGCCCGAGCTCCGCCAGCTCGCCGTCGACCTCGGCCAGGTAACCCAGAAACCAGAGCATCCCCGCGCGCGCAAAGGCGCCGCCTTTTTTTCTCCTTTCTTACCTTCCCCGAGCTTTGCCGGCTCACTCACTCGCGTCTCCGCAGCAAAGCTACCGGGGGAAGCAGCTGCACGACCTCGTCTACAAGAACAGGGCCAAGCAGGTGGAGGAGTTCGCCTACGGTGAGTGCCCGCTGAGCCATGCCCGCCACCTGTTTGTTGTTTTGCCTCGGCCGCTCTTGTCTTGACCGTGCTCTGGTTGTTTGTCGTCGTGCAGTGCCAAAGGTGTTCCGGGAGGCGCTGGTCGGCGCGGGATGGAACGTGGGCCGGTCGCCGGTGCACCACGCCGTCACGGCCACCGATGGCACCACCAAGGTACGTCGGTTGAGGTTCACGCACCATTGTGAAGTCAGAGATGATGTCATGTGCTTGGTGAATTGGAGAGGCTCACGATGACTCTCTGTATGTTGGTCCAATGGTCCTTCCTTGCAGATACTTCTCAAGCTGGAGGACAACAGACTGGTGGAGACGGTGGGGATCCCCGTTGACGACAGGGGCACGCCTAGACTCACAGCCTGCGTTTCATCGCAGGTGCTTTGGAACCGGTGCCATTTGATGCTATTACTGGTTTGACTAGCCCATTGTTTTTGACAATATCAATGGTGCTTATGCAGGTTGGCTGCCCCTTGCGTTGCTCGTTCTGTGCCACTGGGAAGGGAGGGTTTGCGAGAAACCTCAAGGGGCACGAGATTGTCGAGCAGGTCCTTCCTATCTCCCAGCAACCTGCGCTTGTCGTTGCTTTGTAGTGAAACATTATTGTAAACAAGCTGAACTCATGTTCTTTTCTGTTGCGTTGTGGGTTGATGTTCTGGGCATTGCAGGTATTGGCCATAGAGGAGTCGTTCAAACACAGGGTGACAAATGTAGTTTTCATGGGTATGGGTGAGCCCATGCTGAACCTCAAAGCAGTTCTGGAGGCTCACCAATGCTTGAATAAGGTATGTTGAATTGGCAAGTCTCCGAGTCGTGTGTTCCCTTGAGCTCAGTTTATTTTCATGATACATTGGACCATAAATTACTTTGTGTATGCTAAATAAGAAGATGTTTGATATGTGTCCTGTCATTCAACATGAATATACTATTTTCAGGAACTAAAGATTGGGCAAAGGATGATGACAATCTCAACAGTAGGTGTTCCCAACACGATAAGTAAGCTAGCATCCCACAAGCTTCAGTCGACACTGGCAGTCAGGTGCGATGTCAAAATATTCCAAACTTGGGTTCTTAGCATCAACAATAGATAATGCGGCCTTGGTTTATGCTTGCTACTTACCAAACTCACTTAATAGTCTGTATTCCTTGTAAGAAACTGCCCCCTTTTGACATTGTCCAAACCCTGGGCATAGCTGGAAGAAACTGTCTATTATAAGCAGCATTTGCTTCTATAGTTTGTTTTCTGACTATTGTGCTGTATTCGTATCAGCCTGCATGCCCCAAATCAGAGGCTGCGCGAAACAATTGTTCCAAGTGCAAAGGCATATCCTCTGGAAGCACTAATGGATGATTGCAAGAATTATTTCCTCGAAACTGGACGCAGGGTATCCTTCGAGTACACTCTGCTAGGTAATCTAGCTATGTCTTTCACTGAGTGATCCATCTATCTGACGGGGATGATTGTTAAAAACTGCATTATGATTTCAGCC